TTAAATAAAAAAATAAATAATAAAATCACATACATCAATCATCTCAAAATCATCAATGGTGGAAGATGGGAAAGAATGATGATCGTATATATAATCTATTCTTATCTTCAACTCCTACCAACTAACTCATTTATTACTTTGGGGTCCAACTAATTTGATATTGAAGGGTCCACTAGATGTTTGTGATTCAGAGGATGAACCTCCTCACCAACCCTTTGATATTGAAGGGTCCATTTCATAAATAACTTCACCATCCACTCTTTGTCATTAAGAAATTATTAGGTGATGCCCAGATGCCAATCGAGCAGCGGGCATGGATAGTATCCTTATCTGTTTAGTTAAGGAAAAAATTTGTCTGTTTTTCATCTTATTATTTATCGAATATTTGTTTAAAAAATATTTACAATTTTTTTATATTCTTATATATTCATAGATATTTGGGGATATTTTTTATTTTAAATATTTTTATTTAAAGTAATATTTAAAATATATATTTTTATTAAAAATATAATTTAAATTAAATTAAATCATACAATATTTATTATAATAAATTATAGTATAAAGAATAAATTTTAATAATAATTTTTTTCAAAATAATTTTAATTACAAATAAAAAATATAAATTTATAAATTCTAATTTTAAATATTTTCTTAATTATTAATGATTTTATTAATAACTTTATTTTGAAAAATGTTAAATAAAGTTTTTTAACTGGTATAAAAACTTATAACAACTTATTATAATAGTTCTAGTTCATCCGTCATAATAAATTATATGAAATAATTTAGTAATTAAAAATTATTTTTTATAATAATTTAATTTAAATTGTGGTAAAAAATAATTCTTTATGTAATTTAATTTTAAATTGGTATACATACGAAGATAAAGATATAAGTATAAAAATCATAAAATTCAATATATCTATTCAAATAAATTACATACCTTATAGTTGTCTTTTACTTGATTTCATATTTTGAAATCGTTGAGTGATAAGCTTATTGTCAATATTATTGAACAAATTTTTCTCATTATAAGTCACTAGACAATCGTTCATCCATACATTTTCCATCCGATTATGTAACATATATGGTAGAAAAGGATTTTTCCATGGTTGTTGTGGCAACGGGGAAATCATTACTAACTTCAAAAGAAGGTAAACTAATGGATAAACAATATATCTTCCAGTTTCAACCAACTTCTTAAAAAGATTTTCCTTTCAAAGATGAAAATTGTATATTCCTAAGCATATAAATCATGTAAGTCTCTAGTTGATTATCAAGCATCACTAAATCAATTATAGAGAAATCATATGGATAAAACTTTGCAAATTCAATTAGCTTTACCTTATCAAAAAGTAGAGAATAAGTTGGTTGGATTCAAACAATTCATGCAAAGAAACAACTAAGTATTTGTCTATGTAAACCAATCATTAAGTTCCTGAAGTTGCCTGCCCACAACAGAATAAAATAACTCAATACGATAAGGATACTCAGTTGTGATAGCTTGAGCTTTACCTCCACATTGTGATCTCCCCTTAGAAAAAATACATCTTCCATATTAGGAATGCAAATGGAATGCTTATTACAAAATGAAATTACTTGGTGCAATAAAGACTCCCATCCCTTATCTCATAGTTTGCAATTGTAGCTTTGTGATGTTAACCAAGTTCATAACATTAATGATATAACCAAGTTCATAGCATTAATGATATATTGATCTTTCCTTGCAATGCCTGTGACAATTCATTTGAAATACCCAAGACATTTTTCATCAAATGTAATGTGAATGCAAAATTAAATTCTTCTAGAAAATATAAAAGACCATTTGCTTTAGCTCTTTGATCTGCATTTGATCCACCTTCTTTTATAATTTCAAGAACATCAATTATAGAAGAATATATCAATATCATATTGATCAAAGTTGCATAATATGAACCCCAACAAGTATTAACAACTCGTTTGATACTAGTTTCTTGATTTAAACCTTGTCCACTAGGAATTTTTCCTTTTCCCAATGTCTCTCTAACATAATTCATTTGTTTTTCACGAAGCATGTCATGTCGTTTGCTAGATCTCCCAACATGTACTGAAGTGGATACCAAATTAAAAAGAAAGACAACTTGAATGTGATTTTTTGCAATAGCAACTAATGTGAGTTGTAATTGATGAACAACACAATGTACATAAAAAGTAAATAAATCATCCTTTAAGATTAAACTTTTGAGACTATAAAATTTCCCTTGCATGTTGCTAGTACCATCGTAATCTTGTCCACGAATTCTTGATATATTAAGTCCATGTTTACAAAACGATTCATCAATTTTCCTTTTCAATGATAAAGCTGTAGTATTTATAAAATGAACCGTACCAAAAAAAAAATGCTCAACAATACTTCTTTTTTTGTTAACATAATGCAAAACAACAACCATTTGCTCCTTGTTTGATATGTCACGTATTTCATCAGCAATGATACCAAATAATTCATCTCCAAGACTAGTAATAATAACATTAGTGGTTTCAAGCATTAACAATATCCTTTTGGATTTTTGGAGCAATTGATGATTTTTGGGAGATCTTTCAAGATAATATGATTTATTGATTCATTATGTTTAAAAAGAAATTTAAGAAGTTTAAGAAAAGTATCATGATTAGCAGGATTGATTGATTCATCATGATCATGAAAAGCTAATCCTTGTTTTCATAGAAAATGAATGCAATCAATTGACATTGTCAAACGCCTTCAATACTAGTCACCAGGTGGCTTAGATATTGCAACTTCAATATTTTTTTTATTCATTAAATCTTCACACTTCCTCCAAGCAATGTTATGAGAACTATTAGGACCTCCAATATGAGATGAGAGTCTTTATTTCTTATTCCAATTTGTTAATCCCTCTATAACAAATGTATCACCACTTAATTGTTTTCCAAAATCAGGCTTAAAAAGATAACAACACAAGCAAAATGTAGCATCTTTTCTATGTTATACTCCAACTAGTTGCCAAATTCATTAAACCAAGAAGGACAAAATCTTAAAAGAGTTTCTAATTTTTCTTTGAGAAAAATTATGTTGAGTAGGTTGGCATGGTCATAAATATAATTTATGTATCGTATTTCGGTCATGAGGATGATATGCTGAAATTTTAATTCATCTTCTTGGATCTAGTCTTTCAATTTAGTTTCAATTTGTTGTTATTGAAAACTTAATTCACATTATTTTGATGAAGATTGTTACTCATGTGATGATAATTTCCTCTTCAAAATTCTATCCATGATCTATTTACAATTTAAAATAAATTAATAATTATAAATTTAAAATATTCATAAAAATAAAAAATCTATAAATTGATAAACATAACTAATATGTAATTATATTATTTATATATCAAAGTTAAAGAAAAAAAATTGTGTTCTCTTGCCCTAATAATAGATATTTACGGGATAGATACTATGATAGTCATACCCATCCTACTAATAAACAAGTAATTAAGAAACTTGTACGTCATTTAATATATTTATTTTTGTGATTCACAGTGATGTCAGTCGTTTTCATATTAGTGCCACCGACGCACCAAAGCATATTTCAACTATTTTACATGTAAATATATCATTATTAACATAATTTTATAAAAATATTATTAATTTAATCCAGTATTGGACTATTATATTTTACTAGTAAAATATAATTATGATTTTTTTATTTTTAGTTTCATTAGTAATTTACTGATATATAAAGATAAAACATTATGTACATGTTTAAAATTTTGTTTATGCAAAATAAAGTTAAGATATTTATTTATTAAAATAAATTTAATTTTAAAATAACAAATAATTCAAATTTAATTAAAAAATAGTTTTTTTTTATCGGATCATCTGTTATCATACAAAAAAAATATAATCATCTTTTATTTCACTAATATATTTATCAAAGATGAACTAAACATAATTTCATTAAGTATTTTTAATTGGAGTGGATAGTTTTAAAATTTCTAGCTAAATAGGGATGTGGACAGCAAAGTTTTGCAGAATAAATGAGGAACTTGAAAATGAAAAATAAAAATAAAAATTAGTACTTTATAATATTTAAATTATATAAGGAAATGACGGAAATTGAAACAAAACTAAATATTTTTATTATGGACAAAACATAATTTTGTTTTATAACGAGCATAATACTAATCCAAACCTTTTAATATTGTTTTTGTTATGGATTGATATTCTTGTAGACGGAAACGAAGAAGGTGACACATGTCAATAGTGTATAGTAAAGTATTTATTTAATTTGTTCTAAATAAAAACAAGGTTAATGTCATCATAATTTATTGCTGCAAAATTTTTAACATTTCATGTTATGTTGAGACGAAATAATTTCACCCAAATTGTTTAATAATTGAATAGGATTAACATACGTATTTTCTTCTTAAACAAGTTATGTTATTGTGAAAATAAATTATTTTGGTCTGTATCTTTTAAATGACAAGTTATTTGTAACCATGTCAATTAGTGAATACTATTGATATTATATTAAAAAATGTTTTTTTTAAAAGAAAAATATGATAGAGCAATATAATGTTAAATTCAGAACTTCCCAAACTCATTAAATTTATATAAAAAAATAAGTTGTTAGTTTAATATAATAAACATCTCAAGGATTGACAAACTATTATTGAAATATAATATTAAGTTCCTGAACTTTCTGGAGATGCATTCTGGAAAAGATAATTGGAAGATCAAACTTTACTGGAACAATTCAGAAGCAAAAGGACGGCAAGAAAATATATACTAATAGAAAGTATATTCATTTATATGCATGCGCATCTCACGAAGTGCGTTGACATATATAATTTAACACACTGCAAATGCATCGGGAACATGCATCTCCATATTTATTCCAACACAAAGAAAGGACCATGACACGAATTTATTGTAAATATAATGGCTTCATCCTGAGGCCATTATTTGATAGTTCTTATTTGCTATTTTGTTCATAACTTTTGGAGTTATGCCTTGAGAAGATTTGCATCAACATCTCTGCTCCCTTTGTGCACGAATTCGAGGAAACCAAATGGAGGATCAACTTCCTCACTGGTAGTCTCATATTCAATGGTCCATTTGATGATATCCTTGTCAATTGCTTCAAAGATTGCCTTAAAAACCTTAAACTTGGCTTCTAACTCTTCACCGAACAGCTTGTAGGTTATTCTTTTGTTTGCTTCATCAATGGATTCAATACTCTCGTGATACGTTGTAACCTTACCATCTGGTGTATTACAAACAATCAAGACCAACAACATAATCATTATCATAAACATAAACATCTGGTGCATTCAAACTGAAACAAAGAGACATATGACGACTAAAACTATATTTTAATTAAAGTAATCTACCGATTCTCGTTTACGTATTAATTGACATTGTTAGAAGTTTAAGTTACCTATGGTACAAGTCCAGTGTTTGATGGTCTCGTTGTGATGCCAATCGTGACCATGATGCAGCTTGGTTCCATGGACTCTATCTGTAAGATTTTGAACATGATGAAGTTGCTTTGAAAAAAGGTTGAACCACTTATCAGCAGTTGCATGAACCCAAATTTCTGTGCTGAGTTTACCAGCAAGTGACATGATGACGAAGAAAGAAGCAAGAAATATATGCAATAGACAAAGAAAGGTGGGAGATGGTGAAGATTATGGTCACCATATCCCACTTATATAGAAACATAACTTACCGACTCCACTAACAACTAATAATTAAACCCTGGGCGGGTCCAAATCTCTTTTAAAAAATCAAAATCAATAATTTAATAGATTGTGAGAGAGGGGTGGTGAAGAAGTATTTAGTTATAATATTAACACGTGGCAAAGAAGGTCTTTATTATACTAATTTTTGTAACCATGAGATGCGTGATATATTTTTTAAGTTCGATACAAACTGGGATTAACATCTAATTAATGTGCATATTTTACATGTATTTTAAAACAACTTTTTGTTATTAATATTTCTAATGGAAATTAAAATATAAATACTGCTTTACAAATTTTGCCTTTATACTTCTGCTAACTTTTAAAACATTATCAAACCCCCAAGATTTTCACCAAAGTTATATGAAAAAGAAAGGATTTCTAGTCATACTGAATGAATAATGCACTTTCTATCAAATCCCCCATTAATGAGTATTACATGAATTAAAACAAATAACCAGAATAAAATGTCTAATTAAAATGCCTCTAGTTTGGATGAATATCAGTTGATAAATTACTATATCTATCTCTCTCTCTCTCTCTCTATATATATATATATATATAATTTAGAATTTTTAAAAGGAAAATGGCTTGGACCCATTGTTTTATTAATTAGTTGATTATGACGGGTAGGTATATAAATTTTGTTCCTATATAAATGGTATATGGTGGAAACATTCTTCCCCACCTTCCATCCATTTTATTAGTTTTGATCCATATATTTCTGCTTCTTATTGTAACTATCATGTTCGAAACCTTATTGAAAAAGTGCATGGGTGTAAGCTCCATTATGGTGATGGCTGGAATCACGAGGAGTCAATCAAACACAAATAACTACAAAAAAAAATCATTTTAGGCGACAAAAAAATCGGTCGCTAAATCAATAACAAAGTTAATTATTTTTAATTATTTACATTTACTAATTTACAACCTCTCTCTATTTATCTAAATACTACCCTACCTCTTTTTATATTATATTTTTATTATATTATATTTTGTAGAAGTTTGACTTATTACTAGATAATTATTATCATTGTCAGGATTCAAACCCGGAACCTCAGAGTTAGAAGTTGAAACTCCAACCACTAAACTACTAGAACTTTTCAATAATAACTTACAAATAAATTATACTTATATACAAATAAATGTATATCCGTACAAATATATAAATATAAAATCTATAAATACAAATATATTTATATATTTTAATATATATTTAAATATTGATATATTTATATATTGATATATTTATATATTTATATATTGATATATTTATATGTTTATATATTTATATGTTTATATATTTATATGTTTATATATTTATATATTTATATAATAATCAAAATGATGAGTTTGTCCAAATAGATGGGGCAATCCCTGGTTTAGGATTTATAGTAAGACCCTTACGACCCCCGGGTATGAGTCCTAGTTATAGTCCAAACCCAGCAATAGAATTAACCAAGCAAATTAAGAAACTTAAAAGAAGATTAGCAAGACGTATAGCTCAAAGAGAAATATTAATGAGAGAAAACCCAACTAATTATGCTTATAACTTGGTACAAGAGTAATATCAAATATTTAGAAGGAAAACTGAAGAACATAAGCCACTTTGTGGCTTAGTTTAAACTATTAGGTGTTTAGATTTGTATCTTAACCCTAAATCCTTGAGTTTAAAGGGTCTTTGGGACTCTTAACTCTTCGAAAGAATCCGTGTAGCACTAAGAGGTGCTTATACGTTGGTCAGCCCTTAGGTCTGGTGGTCTCGACAGTAAAACCCAGAAGGGGTAGTGAAACCGTTGGTCAGCCAGATAGGCCGTTAAGGCAAAGAGGTGGTCCCGTAGCATGGAGACTCGAGAAAGAGTGAGAATGCCAAATATCCTTAGAACTTTGAGTGATTTAAGATTAAGAAATAAAGATAAACAAATAGTAGTTAAAACACCGCAACAAGAGGCTTCGTCTTCTTCATCTTCCGTAGATAATAAGGATAAAGAATTACAAATAGCAGAAATAGAAAATTCTTTACATAACTGGTCAATACCTATAGTAAGAAAATGTGAAGTTTATAAACAACATAAATTTTGGTCAACAAATCTAGATGAAATTCATATAGTAGAATATAGTTACCCAGGAACGAAAAATAATAAAATCATAAATATTTTAGAACAATAAATTTTAGATCAACATATAAAAGATGGATATAATTTTATTTATTTAGGATTAATACAAGTTGCAGCAAAACCCAATTACAGAAAATTCTTTACATAACTGGTCAATACCTATAGTAAGAAAATGTGAAGTTTATAAACAACATAAATTTTGGTCAACAAATCTAGATGAAATTCATATAGTAGAATATAGTTACCCAGGAACGAAAAATAATAAAATCATAAATATTTTAGAACAATCAATTTTAGATCAACATATAAAAGATGGATATAATTTTATTCATTTAGGATTAATACAAGTTGCAGCAAAACCCAATTACAGAATAGGAATAAATAGTCCAATATTAATGTTATTAAGAGATATAAGACTTAAAATTTTTTCAATGAATATTAAAAATGATAAGACTAGTAATGTTATAAAATTATATGTACAAATCCCTGAGGAAATCGTAGATGAAGAATCAGGTCCAATACAAATAATTTATAGAGTTTATTATAAAGTAACCAGAACAGATTATAATTATAAAAATAGATGAATAATCTTAATTTGCTTGGTTAATTCTATTGCTAGGTTTGGACTATAACTAGGACTCATACCCGGGGGTCGTAAGCGTCTTACTATAAATCCTAAACCAGGGATTTCCCAATCTATTTGGACAAACTCATCATTTTGATTATTCATGTTTATGTTTATACACTCTATTCCTCCCCCCCACAAGAAAACCAAATAGGATTAATACCTTAGAGCACTCTGGCTCTGATACCAACTTTTAATCAACTTTTAAGGATCGATTAAAACTGATTAAAATAGATAGTAGTTCGGAAATTCATTAGAGATTTAAAATAAAAATAGATTTAAGAAAACTGAAAGAACTGAATAAGAAAGACTTACAAATATGATGCAGAAAGAAACTGAAAACTTCATTCCAAAACTTTCATACATAAGGATTATAAAACAACACTCAAACTTGCTCTGCCTCTTCTTCTAAATGAAGAGGTTATTTATAAACGCCTTAGACGTTTCTAGGAACTACATAATTTACATATATGTCCTTATTCTAATTTACATTAATACCCCTATGATGATCTTTGTCTTTATGTCTTCTTTTTCTTTTCTTTATCTTCACTCCTCTTGCTTTTGTATTGTCATACTTTATTTTTGTCTTCACGTCTTCTGTTCATCTTCACGTCTTCTTTTTATCCTCATGTCTTCTTTTTCTTTTGTCCTGTCATGCTTTAAATCATATCTTCTTTTTACCTTGGCGGTTGCCTTGCCTTTAATTATTTTGATGATAAGATTACTTTTATCCTTGTCAGTCGAACATGTTGAATGGGTTTGAGTACCCACCATTACTGCCTTCTGACGGGGTCTTGGAAGTTGATTTTTCTTTGATAAGTTTTTCTATTTCTTCTATACTTGAAGCTAAGGCTAATTCTGCCATTAGTCTTTGCTTCTCGACTATAAATAATGACTCTTTGGTTAGTGCTTGTGATGGACTCTCTTGTTGTTGATGATAGTTTGCTTGCCAAATATCTATCCTTTGTTTATTGATGATGTCCAAGTTGAATTTTTTCCACCATTTGATTTTATATTGTCTTGACAAAACTTTTATATCGACATTCTCGTATAATTGCTTAATGATAAAATCCCAGGTTACTATCCATGTTATTGATTGAGTAGATATGAATGAAATTAATCTATACCCTTGTTCAAAAGAAGTTTTTTTGACGAAAATAATTTATACACTTCTGAGACTTTTGTTGGGAAGATAGAGGGAAGTGGTACCATATGTGAGAACCATTTAATAAACCATTTGGGAAATTTTAATGATATTCCTTTTTTAAACCATATGAACCAAGAATGGTTTCCTGGATACACATATAGGGCATTGTACCAGGCATCCATGTAATCATAATAATCATAAGTTTGGGGATTAAAGGTTCTAGAGAAAGATTTTAAATGATAAGGTGGATGGTCCCATTCTTCTGATGAAAGGATTTTTAAGATTTTGAGTTTAGAGTATTGAATAATGCCTTGCTCGTCTCTTTTATGGATAATCTCAGCAGAGTCAGTGTCTACTAAGATAAATTCATAAAAGGTTCGGTCTTTAACTAAGCTTGTTGGCAAATAATAAAATTCTTTTGGGAAAAGGTATTGGGAGGTGGTTTTGGTGTTCTGTTTAATCCAAGATTTTTCTAGAGTTATTATTGACAAGGTTTCTGGTTTAAGATAATAATCTTCTTGGAGGTTTACTGTTTGAGGGGCTGTTTGAGGATTTTGAGTAGGCTGATAAGATGAGGAAGAAGAGGTAATAAGGTCTTTTGGGCTAATTAGAGTATGAGAATATTGTAAAGGGGTAAATCGATTAGAAGTATTGACTAAAGGACTTTTCAATATTGGCGGAGGAGTTTTTAAAATTTCTGCTAAGGTGGCCTTAGCTTGTGGACTCTGTGGTCTTAGAGATATTGACATACCTGTATTTAAGGGTCCCAGTGGGGGACCATATTGATCTTTGCTCAGTGGTTTTTCACTCATGATCTTTTATCCTGTAGAAATTCTCTGGTTAAAAAGTCTGGTAGAAAATTATCTTTTCCTTTTATATGTTCTATTTCAAAATCAAAACAAGATAATAAAGCTTGTCATCTTGCAAAAATATGTTTAGAAACTAAATTTTGAACATCTTTGGTTAAAACACTTGGTGTTGCTTTGCAATCGGT